GGCAGGCACCCGGGGGCACAAGGGACCCGGAGAAACCCGGGCGTCAGGGACACAGGGGTGCGGGGACATCGGGACGATGAGGACGGAGGAGACCCCAGAGGCACACCGGGGACGCCAGGGAGAACGGGGATATTTGGGCCACTGGGGACCCGAGATAATATGGGGGATAATATAGGGGTGCTGGGGGCATCAGGGCACAGCAGGGCACTGGGGACATGGGGGACACCAGGGGTACGGGGACACGGGGGGACCCAGGGGAAACCAAAGGTACATTGGGGACACCGGGGACATTGGGGACAGTGGGGAAAGGGACCTGCAGGGGAGGAGCCCGTGACATCCTGCAGGGAGCAATGTCACCCTCAGCCCACCCAGCCCTCGTGGTGAGGTGTCCTTACCCATGTCGTGGACCAGGGGCACCACGTCCAGGGTGAGGTCGAGGTGCATCCGGGGCAGGGCCAGCGCGGTGGCCCGAGGGGGCGTCTGGGCCGCCCGCCGCAGCAGGGCCAGGAAGGTGGGGGGGTCCAGTGACCGCTCCAGGGTCTCCAGCGCCCCCAGGGGCCCCCGCGGCAGCAGCACCACCAGGCTCAGCCCATCGCTCAGCTCCAGCCTCCCCACCTGCGGGACGGACCCCTGACTCAGGGCCACCACCAGGGACCCCACAGAACGGCACCCCCCAGTGCCACCAGTGAGGTCCCAGCCTGGCATTCCCCCAGCCCGGGGGAGTGAGGTCACGGCTGGTGCCCCTTTCAGTGCCAGGGCACTGCCATCAGCCTGGCATCCTCCCTGAGTGCCACAGGAATGATGTCACAGCCTGGCATCCCTCCCTAGAGCCACTGGAGTGACATCATGCCGTTACCCACCCCTAGCAGTGACCCATTAGGCCGCCCGGGCCGGGCAGTGACCCCACCGTCCTCCCAGTGCCCAGCAGTGACCCCACAGCCCTCACAGTGCCCGGCAGTGACCCCCTAGACCCCCATCCCTGTCCCAGCAGGGGTACCTGGACCTGCAGGCGGGAGTTTGTGAACGAGGCCACTGGGTACTTGGTGCTGGTCATG